GGAGGGAAGGAGGGAAGGCGAGGAGGAGGAGGAGGAGGAGGGGAGGGGGGGGGAAAGAAATGCCATCCCCCTCCAAAGCAAAAGTCCCTGGGCGACCATGGCAACAGATTGCAAATGTCACTGCGCATCAGCCCGGGCTGCCCGGGCCGGGCGCGGGGGGGACAGCGCTGTCACCCTGCGGGGCGGGGGGGGGACAGCGCTACCCCCCGCACAAGGCGGCCGGGACGGCTGTGTCCCCCTGGGGACACCACGTAGCAGCCCGGGCGCCCCGGAGCCGGGGATGCTGCAGCCGTCCCCCCGCGGGGACACGCTGGGCCCTGCGCTGAGCACGGGGCCATGTCCCCGCGGCAGCGCAGAGCCCCGTGCGGCCGTGGGACCCCCGGCGGCCCGCCCCATCGCCCCGGGCCCCTGCAGCGGGTTCTGCCCCTGCAGCACGGTGGCTTTTGCAAAAACCGGGAGAATTTCAAAATTATTTTAAAGCGGTTCCTACTGTCAGGCAGAGGTAGGAGAGCCCCAGGAGCAGAGCAGTCCCAGCAGGGGTGACCATCCTGGTAATGGGCTGCCAAGCTGGCCAGCTCTGCCTTCAAAAAGAGGCTCTAGCACCAAGTGAGGGATGTCTGAGGGGAGAGGAGAGGTTTTCCTGCGCTGCTGGGGCTGCGGGCACTGCGCCGTGCAGATAGAGGAAGGGTCTTGGTTTGGAGGAGCCTCCTCTGCCCCAGAGCTGCCCAGCGTGGCGAGAAGGGGCTACGTGGCCACCCCAGTGTCTTCGGGGGGCACCAAGGACAGAGCCGGAGGGATGGGCACCCGCCAATGCAGCCTGCTGGGTGCGTGTGGCTTTTTATTCTCCAAACGACGCGTTATGAAAATGGGTACGGATCCACACAGGGGGATCCAGGAGCTTCTAACCATTAATTAAGTCTCACCCCAGGCCTGGGAGAGGAGTAAATATTGAATGAAATCCTTTTGTTCTTGGCTTGGAAGGAGCAGAGACCTTGGTGCCAGAAGAGACCTTTGTTTCTTTCCACCCAAACCAGGATTGCTCCTTTTTCACTACGAAAAGAATCACTCAAATAAGCGAGTTCCCTTGAGCGGAGTTTCTGGCTACCTGTTGCTTGAGCAGGCAGGGCGCCTCACCCCAAACAAAGCAACAGAGGCAGCTCATTTCCCAAGGAAAAGAAAATGCCGCCCGGAGATTTCTCCTGGAAGAGCCACTTCCCCCCATCCTATGGAGAAATGCCGCCGGGAGAGGCTCGCACGGAGCTCACCGCATCCGAGCCCCTGCCTCCCCCTCTCCCACCGCCGCCGGGGCCGGGGGGCAGCGCTCGCCCGCGCGAGGGGCTTTGCAGCACCTGCCACAAGTGCAATTAGCAGCCGAGCGCCTTCCGGGAATCCAGTCCTTGAGAGGGAACAGGCTCGAGCGGGGTCGAGAAAGACAATTCAAGGCTGAAGTGTTCTCAGGCGCACGGTGCTTTTTGCACAAACCCCGCAGAGCCCAGGCAAGGCAGGCTGCTTTTTGCACGCCCCGCTGCTCCGCCACCGAGCCACCGAGCTTCCCTATTGCTGGAGGCGGCTGTGAGAGGGGCTGGGGACGCCGTGTCCACCCGAGTGTCCGCCCGAGCATCGAGTCCCGCTTTTCTGCTGTGACTTAATGTTCCCCAACGCATCCTGATGGTCGCTGGACCGGGGTGTTTGGTTCATACAAATCCACAACATCCCCCCATGGTGTCCTGCTTCCCAGCTCGCTCATCCCGGGAAAGCAGACGTGGGATCCAGAGCCGAGGGGGTTGGGGAAACAGCCAGAGCAGGAACAGCAGAGGGGTTCCTGCTCCAGAAATGTGCAAAATCCTCCAAAACAGCCCAAATGGGCTGTCCTGTTCTGTGTTCAGCTGGCACGCTGGCTCTGCAGGAGCAGCCTGGGGACGGATCCTGCGCTGCCCAGGGCTGAGGTGACACGCGGGGCCGGGCCAGTGCCACCAGCATGGTCAGAGCATCCCCGTGCTCTTCTCTCCCAGCCAGCACTGGTTTAATACCTAAATGAAAGGCTGCCCTCCCTATGCAGGGCTCACCCATTTAAGGGGAGAGTGACATTCGGATGTTGTTTGCGGCATAAAAGGGTGATTTTTCACAGGGAAAAACCCTCCCAAGGACAGAAATCTGCAGCCTGGGACCAGAACTGTGCCGATTGCCCCGGGACCCCCTCTCAAGGGACACCCATGCCCTGCGTGGTTGGAAAGGGAGGACAAGTCCTGAGCAGTGCCAGGAAGCAGGAAAGCTGGAGCCGGGCGTGTAGGAGAGAGCAGGGCTTACCCTCTCTGTGCTTTTCTTACTGGGAACAGCCCAATCAGAGCCCAAATGCCAGCAGCACCCTGCACATCTGCAGGGTGCTCTTTTTTTTTGCCAGCTTGCCCTCCTTGGCCCAGAGAAATCCCCATTGAAGCTGTCTGCGGGTGGAAGCTGGAGTAAACCTTTCCTAAAATCCGAGAAATCATCTTCAATTTCCTTCCTCCCCAAGCCCCCATCTCCCCCTGACCCCTTCCCTCAGACATCTCCATCCCTTGCCCTACATCATCCTGCTCCAGCGCTACCAGCCAGGACCCGCTCTCCCCCTTGGCATCCCTCCGGGTGGCCCCATCCAGGAGGTGGAGATGGGAGTCATTAGCAGAGACCCTCTAATAGGTGCTGTGCTAAATGGGCCTTTTGTTCGCAGAGCCGCCAGCTGCCGAGTGCCTGGGTGCTCTTTGCTGTGGGTTTTACCCTATTAAGGTGGATCTCAATTAATTAGATGGGAGGCGAGAGGCAAAGAGGGGGCCCTCGCGTGTGGCTTGGCAGTGAGGAGGACAAGGAGGGTGCCGAGGCCAACGGCACCTCAGGGGGAGGCGGCATGTGGAGCAAAACCTGGGGAAAATGGGAAACCGGCCCTGGGGCAGGTTTGTCCCTGCTGAGTCCCTCGCCATGGCCACATGGGATGGCAGTACCGGGACCCTGGGGATGAGCCACCCCGCTCGGCACCCACGTCCCTCAGGTGGCGGCAGGAACGCGCACGCTGGAGCACTCAGACCAGCGGCAAATGGATCTGGAGAGATCCCTGACATTCCCCCTCGCGGCTCCCCTGGAGAGGCCGGAGCGGCGCCCGGCTCTCGCCCGGCCGCTAATGCGAGCGCCACTAAAAGCGCCGGCAGAGCGAGCGCGGCGGCAGCCCCGGCACAAGAGCTTTCAAGCCCTTGAGGAAGGGCTGGGGGCGCGTGGCAGGCGCGCGGGCCGCGCAGGAGACGGGGAGCGGGAGGGAGCAGCGGGAGACGCGGTGGCCGAGCCAAGCGGGTGTTCGTGAGGCCGAGCGGCGCTTCCCCTGCCAGGCCGGGGCTGTGGCGACCATTCCTCCCGCTGTGCTGGTCCCGCTTGGATGCTGAAAGGGACACTCTGGGTACTGAAGCGCGGTCATGGGGCATCATCTCCCATCCTGGTGCTCCAAGATGGTGTCTCCTGGGTACACGGATGGGACCCAGGGAACAGGGCAGTGCATGGGAGACACGGTGTCCCTGAGGGGCCTGCGGAGGTGATCAGGGTGCCTGGGTGCAGGAAGGGGGTGTCTAGGGCCAAGGGAATGGCATGCAGGGGATGTCAAATGGGTAGAGGGCTGGGGCTGCCCAGGGGTGCAGGGATGGGGTGCAGGGGTACAGCGACCCAGGGAGGGGGTGCAGCAATGCAGGGCCTCGGGGCTGCAGGGGCGCAGGGATGGGGTCAGCTATGCAGAGGTGCAGGGAGGGGTTCAGGGGTGTAGGCGTGCAGGGATGGGGTGCGAGGTTCAGGAGGGCAAGGATGCAGGGGTTCAGGGATAGGGGGCGGCGGCGGCAGAGGGGCTCCGGGCACAGGTATGGGGTGCAGGGGATCAGGGCTGCTGGGGTGCAGAAATGGGGTGGAGGGGCTCGCAAGGCTGCAGGATCCCAGTGGTTCAGGAATGGGGTGCAGGGCTGCCGGCTTTTGGAGGTGCAGGGATTCAGTGCAAGGATGCATGGATGGGTGCAGGGATGCAGGAGTGCAAGGGTGCGGCAAGGGGGTTCAGGGGCGCAGAAATGGGCTGCAGAGCTTCAAGGGTGCAGAGCTTCAAGGGTGCAAGGAGGCCGGGATTCGGGGCAGCCGCCGGGGCTGCGCTGCGGCGCGCCCTCCTGCCGCCCGGGGGTGCGTGTGCGTCAGCGCAG